GGCGAGGCCGCAAGCCACTGCGACGGCCACCGCACCGCCACCTCTGCGCACCGCTCCCGACCCCAACACACACGCAGGGCTCGGCAAGCAGCAAGAACCTACGGAACCCGGCCGATTGAAGCCGAAGCGAAGTTACCCCAGTTACGGAAATGGCCCTTCCCACACACACACACACGCACACGTAAATGTGTGAGTCACCCTCTTCCTGAATGCAGGGCCGCAGCGGGCAGACACAGTGGACGAATCCCCTCGTCATTGCGCCCACACCCCCGAAGCAAAGCACACGCAAAAAAGCAAAGAGACGGGGACAATTCAGGTGCTCCCTCCATCCACGTTTCCCCCCGCACGGGAACCCCTTCCGCCGCGCTGCAGCCAAGTTTCCTCTAACAACAGACAAGGACAGGACCCCCCCACCCCCACCCGCAAAAAAAAGAAAAGGAAAATAAAAGCCTTCAACAACCACACTGCTCATCCCCTCGATGCAAGCGTTGGCAGTCGGCACCAACGCAGGACCGAAGAACATGACAACATCCGTGTGGCGCGTCCATAAACTGAAGGGGACCAATGCAGGCACCTCCATGCCCAAAGAACACGGTGCACGGGGCACGGGTTTCGAGGCCTGTAACGCGCAAGGTGCGTCGAAGCCCTTGTCCACGCTGCGCGTGCGGCGGTTTCGTAGCAAGGCATCAGCACCTTCCTCCACACCCTTGCAGGTCTTCGTCGTAGTTGTTGGCCGCTCGCACGGATCGCGCGTCACCATCGCCGCCGCATCGTTCCCGCGTGGTGCCACGTTGCCGCTCGGCCGCGCACCTCCGTTATGCCCTCTTTTCTCCTTGCTCAATCTTCTTGACCACGCGACGCCGGCAAGGATTGAAGTTCGCCACCGGCGGGAAAGCCCCCGCACTCGGCGCGGCGCAGGCACCCCCGCACCAGGGGCGTTGCGGCACTGCCACCGCTGCGGCGGGTCGGTGTGTCCATTGAGCGCCGAGCGGGGGGCGTTTTCACGGGGCACCAAAGTGAGCTAGGAAGGCAAAGCAACAAAACCCAAAAACCACGGACGGGGGGGAAGAGGACAAATACAATCCCCCGGCGCGGGCTGGGGAGGAGGAGGAGGAGGGGGAAGGAAAAACATGTTGGCGTAAGAGTTTGCCCCTGCGCGTTTCGTCCAAGCGTAGTCCCCTCGCCTCTCGCCAGCGACTCCATCTACGTCGGGTGCCAGGTTGGTGCGAGAAGAAGAGGCAAGCAAAGCGAGAGGCTCTTCCGCAAAGAAGCAAAAGCAAAGCACTCTGCTCCCCAGCCCCGCGTTCCCTCCTTCTCCCCCTGCCCATTCCATGTTTGTTTTTGTTGTTGCTGTCTCGCCCCGTCAAGCTTCCATTCATCCTCTAGGTCGTCCGCGCGCGCAACCGCCGAGGCGATGGAGAACTCAGAGCAGGACTCAACTGGCTGACGTCGATGCCGCTTTATTAGTGGTCGACCGCGGGCGCTGCGTCGCAGTAGCGAGCGCGACGAGGGGGCCCTTCCTGTACGGCACAGGCGGCTCTTCATAGGCCCGGGCGGCTTCCACGCGGACCGCGCCCGCGGCTGCCTTACTCTGCCGCTTCTCGGAGAGGCCTTCCGCGCGCCGCCTCTTGTCCACGCCACGCGCCGCCCCTAAGCTTCACCTGACGTTTGACGAAGCCCCGCGGCCTTCCACCGCCGCCCCGCAAGCACGGGCTGGGGGCCTCCTCCCCGCCGCCGCCCGGCAGTCCCACGGCACGGGTGGCACAGCCGACCGCACGGCA